TGTCTTCGGAAATTCCTCTGCCAACAGTTCCTATTCCAGAGGATAGTCCGATCTCGGCCATCCAACTTCTGAGTCAGCAACGGCTAAGGAAAATAGAATTTTGCGTCTCTGCATGATGGAAATGTGGGACGCCTGGGCCAATAGAAAAGAACCACCAAGTGCGATCCCTGGATTCCCTGAGCTTTTTCCCAGGCCAAGTGGGACCTCCAACATCCCCATAAGTTATGCAAATACCCCACTGGGATATCCTACCATTTCAACCCACTTTGCTGGAACACCTTCTGAGTCTCGCCCCTAGGTGTTAGCTTCAAGTGCGGCTTCAAACATACTCACCGCGCCACCTTGTTCAGCTACGGCACAACCTGCTTTACCTAGGCCTAACTTTGATTCATCTTCCTTCACATTTCAAGCACCATCTTTCCCAGTGGAACCTCCTCAGTTTCCTACTTATACTTACCCTCAACCACCCCAATTTGAGTTCACTNGTTGAGTTCACTGCGGGGCAATAAAAGACCACCAAAACTCCTGAGCAAGAAGAGATTGTGAGGAAGATGAGGAGTATGGAACAGAGTCTCAAAAGCATACAAGGCTTGAGTGGACAGAAAAGTGTATCCTATGCCGACTTAAGCATGTTCCCTCATGTGCATCTGCCATGGGGATTCAATACCCCAAAATTTGAGAAGTACGATGGGCATGGTGATCCTATTGCTCATCTCAAGAGATATTGCAATCAGCTGCGAGGAGCCNCTACCATTGGGATTCAAAACCCAAAATTTGAGAAGTGCGATGGGCATGGTGATCCTATTGCTCATCTCAAGAGATATTGCAATCAGCTACGAGGAGCCGGTGGAAAGGAAGAACTACTTATGGTCTATTTTGGAGAAAGTCTGCTTGGCATCGCATCTGAGTGGTACATGGACCAGGATATATCCCGCTGGTACATATGGGATGATCTTGCTAGAGATTTCGTCAGGTAGTTCCAGTACAACATTGATATTGCTCCAGATAGGAACTCATTGACAAACTTGAAAGAGAAATCCTCAGAAAGCTTCCGAGAGTACACAGTTAAATGGCGTGATCAGGCATCCAGGGTAAAACCTCCGATGGATGAGGTTGAAATGGTCACAGTTTTCCTTCAAGCCCAAGAAGCTGACTACTTCCAAAATATGATGTCCGCAATGGGTAAACTGTTCGCTGAAGCTATCAAGATTGGCGAAATGGTTGTAAATGGGCTGAAAAAGGGTCGAATTCTAAGTCAATCCGCTATCAGAGCTACCTCTCAAGCCATTCAGGGTGGGTCTGGAGGAATAGCAAAGGGAAAGAAAAAAGGAAGAAACATCCATGGCAGTGTCGGGTGCAAGGAGAAACTGTACTCCCAGATCTTTTTTCTCAGAAAGGACCCCGCAGCACTATTACCCTCACCAAGACTTGGACTATACTCCTCAGCCATACTCGGTCATGAATGCTCAGCCTTATGTCCGGCCACAAAAACAAGCCAACAGAAATCAAGCTCCATTTCCTAGAAACCAACCTCCTTACCAAACCCACTACAACCCCCGTCCTCCACAAAATAATTTCCACCCTCATGAACCGCCCAAGAGGCCAAATTTCACACCAATTGGCGAAACCTACTCCAGTCTGTTACCAAAGCTTGTTCAAATGGGTCTACTACAGCCTGTTCCTCAAACTAGGCAAAACCCAGCATCACCCGCTTACAGAGCTGGTACCCGATGTGCCTATCACTCAGGGGCAAAAGTGCACGACACGGATGATTGCTGGACTCTGAAGAGAGCCGTGGAGAACTTGATAGAACAAAGGAAGATAGTGCTGAGAGATGAAGATGTTCCCAATGTGACCAACAACCCACTGCCAGCCCACAACAACGGGCCGATAATTGGAATGATTTGTGAGGATAAGGAATTTGACCCAGCATTGAAGGCCATCATTGCCATTGCTGACGAAGAAAAGAAACCAAAAGCTGCCCCGAAGAAAGATAAAGGGGAGAAAAAGAAAGAAACCACCCCTCCAAAGTCAGAGAAGAAAATTAAAGTTGAGATCGGGGCAACGCCTCCCAAAGATGTTGTTCTCTACGTCCCTCAAGGCCGTAAAGAAAAGCAGATGACATTGAGTCCTCCCAGGAGATTCGAGCTGAACAAAACAACCCAGATGTATGTGCCCAAGGGGGCTTATGTGATGCGGGGGCCAATTAAGCCATCGAGGCTGAATGAGCCCGTGGTTATTGGACACGCGCCACAGAAGCCCATGAAAGATCCCACTGTTGTGCCCTGGAACTACAACAAAACGATGGTGACCTATAAGGGCAAAGAAATCCCAGGAGAAGTTCATGAAAATAACCCTGTTGAAAAGTATTCCAATTTGGAAGAGGTGAACAACTCTACTAGAAAGCGCTTCCCACTTAAGAAGCCCGTGAGTGCCGAAGAAGCGGAGGCTTTCTTTCAAAACATGAAAATGGCAGATTATGAGGTGATTGACCAGCTTCAAAAATTTCCCGAACAAGTCTCCTTGTTGGCTTTGTTGCTGAACTCCGCCGAATATCAGAAGGTATTGATCAAGACCCTTAACGAAGCATATGTGCCTGTTGACACTTCTGTAGAGCAGTTGGAGAGAATGGCAGAAAGATTTTTCGCAATCAACCAGATCACTTTCAGCAAAAATGATTTGCCCTCAGAAGGGGCCGCACATAACAAAGCCCTGCACCTAACAGTCAAATGCAAAGGGCACTACGTGAAAAGGGTTATGTTGGACGGAGGCTCTGGAGTAGACATTTGCCCACTTTCAACTCTACAGCGCATGGAAATCGGGACCGAAATAATCCGACCCAACAATGTCTGCGTACGTGCCTTCGATGGCATCAAAAGGGACACAATTGGAGAGATCGATCTAATTCTGACCATCGGCCCAATAGACTTTGAAGTAACCTTCCAGGTTCTAGACATGGACACATCCTACAACTTTCTTTTGGGGAGGCCATGGATTCATGCAGCGGGGGCTGTACCCTCTACTCTTCATCAGATGGTGAAGTTCGAGCATGAGGATCAAGAGATCATGGTCCACGGAGAAGATGAGCAATCAATTTATCGGGACCCATCAGTCCCATGTCTTGAAGAAAGAGAGGGGAGTGAGCACATAGTTTATCAGGCTTTTAAAATTGTGGTTGTAGACCAGTACAAAGAAGAAAACCCTTGCCCCCAACCCTTCCTTTCTAATGCATCAATCATGGTGGCCAAAGAAATGATCCGACATGGCTTCAAACTGGGGAAGGGACTTGGGAAATCATTGCAAGGGATAGTTGAACTTATCACCCTGCCCACCAGTGAAAAGTTCTTCGGGGTAGGCTTCCGACCCACTCCAACTGATATAAGATGGGTAGATGATAGAAAGAATGATGGTTGGGTCTTGCCTCAGCCGNCAGCTCTAATAATGTAGCTTTAAATGACATGACATGCTTGCGGACTTCATGCCCAGATCCAAACACGCTGTCTAACTGTGAAATAATGAACCAAGAACCGGAATATAATGAAGAAGAGGCTTTTAAGGAAATAAATCGAGAATTGGAATAATTTGAGAATAAACCTAAGCCAAACTTAAATAAAACCGAGCTGGTTAATTTGGGTAGCTCTAAAGAAGTCAAAGAAACCAAGATAAGCATTCATACAGATGAAAGAACCAGGGACGCATTGATCCAACTTTTGTTTGAATTCAAAGATGTGTTTGCTTGGTCATACGATGACATGCCAGGATTAAGTGTCGATTTAGTGGTTCATAAGTTGCCAACCTACCCCGATTATTCCCCTATCCAGCAAAAATAGAGGAACTTCAAAATTGATATCAGTGACAAGATTAAAGAAGAGGTCACAAAACAGTTAAAGGCGGGAGTGATCCGAGTGGTCCGATACACCATATGACTAGCTAATATAGTTCCTGTGCCAAAGAAAGATGGGAAAATCCGGGTGTGCGTTGACTACCGAGATCTGAACAAAGCAAGCCCCAAGGACAATTTCCCTTTGCCAAACATCCACATCCTTGTTGATAACTGCGCCAAACATGAAATACAGTCTTTTGTGGATTGTTACGCAGGATACCACCAGGTGTTGATGGATGAAGAAGATGCAGAAAAGACAGCTTTTACCACACCTTGGGGCACTTACTGTTATAGAGTCATGCCATTTGGTCTGAAAAATGCCGGGGCAACCTACATGAGGGCCATGACTGCCATTTTTCATGATATGATGCACCAAGAGATAGAGGTGTATGTGGACGATGTAATCATCAAATCCAAAACCCAGGACGACCACGTTCGGGACTTGAGAAAATTCTTTGAGCGGCTGCGCAAATATGATTTGAAGCTGAACCCAGCCAAATGTGCATTTGGGGTACCATCCGGCAAACTCTTGGGATTCATAGTCAGTCGGAGGGGCATCGAGTTAGATCCAACAAAGATAAAGTCTATTCGGGATTTGCCTCCTCCAAGAACCAAGAAAGATGTTATGAGTTTTTTGGGAAGATTGAATTACATCAGTCGTTTCATCGCTCAGTTGACCTCCACGTGCGAACCCATATTTAAGTTGTTAAAGAAAGATGCGGCAATCAAATGGACAGTTGAATGTCAAGAAGCTTTTGATAAAATCAAGGAATATCTGTCAAATCCGCCAGTCTTGGTCCCACCTGAGCCAGGGAGGCCTCTGTTCTTGTACCTGACCATCTTGGAAAATTCTTTTGCCTGTGTCCTCGGGCAACATGACGTGACCGGAAAGAAGGAGCAGGCCATTTACTATCTGAGCAAGAAGTTTACTAGTTATGAAGCCAAGTACACTTTATTGGAAAGAACTTGTTGTGCTTTGACATGGGTCGCTCAGAAGCTGAGGCATTATTTGCAAGCTTACACCACCTACCTCATAACCAGGTTGGATCCTTTAAAGTACATATTTCAGAAACCAATGCCCACTGGGAGATTAGCAAAGTGGCAGATCTTGCTCACGGAGTTTGACATAGTCTATGTCACTCGCACGACAATGAAAGCCCAGGCATTAGCGGATCATTTGGCTGAGAACCCGATTGATGATGAGTACCAACCTTTGAGAACTTACTTCCCAGATGAAGAAGTAAATTCAGTTGAGGCAATATCTGAAGACACTCATGCTTGGAAAATGTTCTTTGATGGGGCGGTAAACGCAAAAGGTGTTGGAATTGGGGCAATTTTGATCTCACCCACTGGTCAGCACTATCCAGCCACAGCTCGGCTTCGGTTCTTCTGTACAAACAACACCGCCGAGTATGAAGCTTGCATTATGGGTATAAACATGGCAATCGACCAAAATGTCGAAGAGTTGTTGATCATGGGAGACTCAGATCTGATTATCCGGCAAGCCCAAGGAGAATGGGAAACCCGAGATGTTAAGCTTATCCCTTACAAGAAGCATGTGGAAGACCTCAGCAAGCGATTCAAGTCAATAGAGTTCAGGTACATTCCTCGTTGTCACAACGAATTAGCCGACGCACTTGCTACTTTGGCCTCAATGCTGCCGTATCCAGGCAATGCTCACATAGATCCCTTGGAAATTCAAATCCGGGAAAGGCATGGTTATTGTAATACAATTGAAGCAGCACCAAATACCCAACCATGGTACCATGACATCAAAAAGTTTCTGAAAACTCAAGAATACCCCCAGCAAGCCAGTGGAGACCAAAAGAGAACCATTAGACGGCACGCGAGTGGTTTCTTTTTGAGTGGGGATGTCTTGTACAAGAGAACTCCGGACCTCAATTTGTTAAGATGTGTTGACGCAGAAGAGGCTGGAAGAATCATGCATGAGGTACACGCGGGAGTATGCGGGCCCCACATGAATGGGTATGTTTTAGCAAAGAAAATCCTTCGAGCGGGTTATTACTGGATGACCGTGGAAAAGGACTGTTTTAGTTTCGTTCGGAAGTGTCATCAGTTCAGGTGCACGGTGATTTGATTCATGCACCTCCCACAGAACTGCATCCCATGTCTGCACCTTGGCCATTTGT